ACTCCATTCTCTCTTGTTCCATTGAAATTACTGTACAGACAGTTGAGTATTGTGTGAATTTAGTTTTAAGTCCTTTAGCACAGAGAGTATCTGAATTTATAGAGCACCTGACAGCCTTAAATTCTGGACATTACCATAGTTTTAGTGCTGGTTGAAAAATTCCATTTTGAAATGTCAAAAAAATCAGCAAAAGATCCACAATGTAAGGTCTACAGTCCTTGCAAATTCTATAGTCCAGGAACAATTCAGGGTGTGCAACAGTATTGACTTGTCTTACCTAAGTCACAGTGGCTGGACATATCTAAGCACACAGCAGAACTGTTTGAGTCAAATGGTGCTTCCTTGAGCTATACTGTTTAACATCTAAATAATTTCTGCTACCAAGGCCATTGCAGCAGATATTCAGGAAACAATAGGTAAGATACAGCAAATCCTTCAAATTGCAAATAAAATCAGTTCTGTCAAGAAGTATGACAGTTCACAGCACAGTTCTGTAATTTGACTACTTTGTGGACAAGTGCAGAGGTGAATTGCAAAAAAAAATATATTAAAAATTATGGAGGGAGACAAAGTATTTACAAACCTGAAAATAAAGGAGTTCAAATCTTATTTTCATTGTCTATTTTTTTGCCTGGATAAACTTTTGGCTACAAACAGGTATTAGGAGAAAAAAATTAAAAAGATCAATTTCACAGAACCCAGGACCTTAAACCTAAAACTGAGTTATGCCTTGAGAAAATATCTTTTCAATAGGTAATATTTACTTTAAGTTAAACAAGTACACAAAGCAATCTAGTGCAGACCAGCACATCTCACCAATATTGCCAATTGGAACCATGACACACACATAATTTATATTCTCAGAAGAATTCAGTTTGGCTTGAAATTGACCTTACATCAGGAATAAAACTTTAAGAAAGCATTATTTTGCATGTTAGTCCAGTTGACAGCTGGAAGCTCTTACATAAATATGACAGCTAATTAACAACCTTACCTCCAAACAAGCTGAGATTGTTTTGGTTTTTTTCTTTTTAAAAATAATTATTATTTAAATTATAGCTATAACACAAAACAGTGAGACAAGCAAGAAAGCTGTGGATCAGGAACACTGAATATACAGAAATTTTTTGTATGTTCTTTCTATGCTTTAAAAATTCTCATGTATTTTTAAGTTATCTCACGCCTCCTTGTTACAGAGCTACTTTTTTGTACATTCTAAGAGTAACTAGTCAAAATCAATTTCTCTCCATCTGTAGCTATGCCCCTCACAATATTGACAAGGTCAGTGAGGTCCACAGGAAGTCATTTGCTGAGTAAGTGCTAGTCATGCAATTTACAGATGCTTGGATGAGCTGTTTTAATTTACAGCACAGTTTTTCAAAATAACAACCTGCTTAAAAGAAAAATGCCTGAATTATTTCTGTCACTGTTGTTGTATTCTCTCCACAAGTAGAATGTTATCCAGATTTTTAATGCCAGATATAAGTAGGATTGTGGTTTTATGTATACCAGGAACTAGAATAGGAAGTAGTGCCTACTTCTTTTTTACAGCCTCTTTTCATTCCTGTCACATGTAATATGAGATGAAGAAATAAGATATCAGAGCTCTGGAAGCAGTTCAGGGACATAATTGAAGGAGTGATTAATGCTGCTGCATAGACACGATCTCCTTAATCATTTGGATACAGAACAGATCGTGACTCTTCAAAAATACTTATAGCAGACATTAAAACACTGTTGTCTGCCAGTTACCCTGCTTTGTTTCACAGAAGTTTTACATCAATAACTTGAAAAATTGAAAAGGAGAGTGGGGAGGAAGGTCAAAGGATATTAAAAAAAAAATATTAGTTCTCTTAAGCAAATAAAACATTGTGTGCATAAATACATTCCTGAACAGTGCCTGGAAACACATCACAGAAGGGTCCTCTAATAAAGTAATCATATTATTCATTAACATTTAAAAACTATTCCAGCACAGTGCTCTGTGGCATGTTCTCAGCCTGCTTTGCTGCAGTTAAGAAAAGGGTCCAGGGTTCATAGGGGAGGGCTTGTAAGCAGCTCACAAACAACATGCTTGAAATTCCTTCCTTTTGTAGCAGGAGTGCAAAACTACAGTTGAATAATCAAGCTATTGAACTAGGATTTATGCCAAAAAGACTAATTTGTAAGCTGTGTCCAAAGTGTCTGGGTTTGAAGTGATTTGCATATTTCTTCCTCTGTTATTCTAGGAATGCTATGGGAAACTTGCTACCCCAGGTCTCAGCAGTAGGTTTCTCATGCATACCTTTCCAAACTTGTCTTTGGAAACATGAAAGCAATGAGTGTGACAGGCATCAATGTTATATTAGTGTAGTTTATGAATACAGGTATTCATGAAACAGGATTCTAACTTGAAATTTCTTACAATGTACTGTTTATCAAGGTCACATTAAAAACCAATCGTAATGATTTATGTAAAAGCATAAGGGCTGTGATAAACATAAATCACGAAAGTCTGCCAAATATTTATGTGCCAAGTTAAAAGGCAGTCTTATAGCTGTGAAATATAAAATAGAGATGACAGTGCATTGAATGCTGGGCAGCCATGGGTGTTCCCCAGCAAAAACTCATTATTCAGTACTCTTCTACAAAGCCTGCTCTTGTAACGGGAACTGAGAAAAAGTAGAATTTGACTGTGACACCTCAGTATTCATATTATGGTCCTCATTTCACTGCATAATAAATTCACTAATTTAGTCATAGGAAGCCATTAAGTTACCAACTTAAGTCGCTCATCTCTATGAAATTACTTCAAATATTTTTTTAAGGAGTGGACAAAAATTACCTGCAGTCAAATTATATTGAATGGGAAAGCTAATGCACTGCAGTGGATATTCAGTTTCATTAAAAGAAAGAAGCAAGGAAGCTACACCCTAAAGGCACAATTGGATATAAGTCTTTTTTTGTTTACTCAACCTACAGATACAGATGTGTAGGTATCTTCTTCCAGGGTTTGACATTTTACCGGGATGTTTTGCTTTTGACATTCTTTACTTCTTGTGTGACCTATTATATTTGTATCTTTTACACAGACTGAAGCAGAATCCTTTGGAAAGAGAGTGGAAGATGTGCTGAGGTACCTGTGCTGAAGGACGTGAGTATGCCTAATGGAAAGAAGGCTCAGCGCACTGCAGGGTGTATCAAAGTGCTGCCTCACTGCACTGACCTACCAAGCACCAGGAGCAGGGAGCCTTTCTAGTGCTCAGTGTGGTGGGGAATGTATTCAGTCATCCCTGGCAAGTCCCTGAGATGCTAAAAGATAACCTGTCACCACCTCTTTTCACTATCAACCTTGTGCTGTGAAGAACCTTCCTACAACCACAATCCAATAAGAGGGTAGAGTTACATATCCTTAATTTCAAAGCACAGCAACTTTAAGTTACTCCTCTGAAAAATAATCCTAATAAGATTTATGCTGCAAAGAGAGCCTCATGCTGTTTATGTAACTATACCCATTAACTGGTTAAAAACGTAAGAGCTCCTTCCTCTGCATCTGAACTGCTGCTTGAACATTTCAATTTTCTTGGAGCCGTTGTTATTTTTTACTTTAGAATGTCTCAAATAGCTGCTTTCACAGAGGTTTGATACCATGTTTATCTGCAGAAGACAGAGCACTATAACAATAAAATTCTTTGCAGCTTGTACAGTAATTTATTAATTTTTATTGCATTTTTTAGTTGATCAGCAAGTTTTTCCATTGCTTTGCTGCTTATCATACTTTCGTCAATGTGTAATGCACTGAAATGGATTTAAGGCCCTAAGATAAGAACAATCATCTTGTTTCTTTATAGCAATGAAGCCATATTAAGTCTTCCCCAACTACTCAAGATCTCTGTTGCAAATCTGTTGTGACAACAAATACATATGTTGTAGCAAATGCAACCTAGCTGGCTTTTAAGCTCTTTAACTTTTATTTTGATGCTTGAAATGCTCTTGCAATGAAATACAGCAAAGAAAGCTTTCACTTATGAAAAGAAAGTTTTCACTATATTACTACCCTGGATCAAGCATTAGTAAAAGGAAAAACATCTTTATAGATGCATGTACACACAGGGTCAGCAAGGATAGGAGAACATTGTGTGAGTGACATTACAAATAATCACTCAGACTGGAAGCACAGCCTAAGCTCATGACCAATGGCTGCATGAAAAAACAAAACAACCACAAGAAGTTGATTTTAGATATCCTAAACAGGACATTTGGGGTTTTTTGGACTGAATTTTAAGGGTGGTTTTGGATAAACATAACCTTTGCAAAAGCCAAGAGCCCGTCATGTGGTTTGGAAAGAAGTATTCAAAGATCATTGCTTGAATGGATTTTGGCAGGGTCAAGGCACAATTCCAGCAGTACATACCACCAGTGCCACCCACTTGCACAAATAGTTTTAGAAAATAAAATCTGGAAGAGGCACTTTGTACAAAACTACCAGCCCTCACTTGCAAATTTGCATTTTCTAGGAAGTATTAGGGAAATACATGGTGAAATTAGGATAAAATGACTGTCTATATAAACTCATTTTGCCTCTGTACTTACCCACAAGATTTGATTTAAGTTTGCAGTATTTAGAGCTGGCAAGGTCCTGATTTGCTTTTCTGATTCTCATAGTCCTGCCCAAATCCAAACTATTTTGCTATTGAAACTTCATCTAATCTCTAAGAAAAACAGTATTTCAGTAGAAATAATTTTTAAGGCTAATTCTGGTAAAGCAAGGGATGTGCAAAAATCCTTCACCCGAGGAGGAATAACCCCAAGTACCCAGGCACACAGGGGTGCATTTGAATGGAAAGTGGCATGGTAGTAGAAAACCTGAAGGTCTTCATGGAAAACAAGGTGAATCCAACCCGTGCAGCAAAACATGCCAGCCAGCATATTGAGTTGCATTAGCTAGCAGGCTGATGGAGGCAGTTTTCTCCCAGGCTCAGCACTGCAGAGACCACTGTGTACAATCTGGGCTCCCTGGGTACAAGACAGACATAGACATACCAGAGCAAGGGCAGCAAAAGTAATTAAAGGATTGCAGTGTTTTTCATATGATAATTTGAAAGTACTATGAATGTTCAGCCTGGAGAAGTATCTGATAGGAGCATGTACAATAAATACTCTCCTCAGTAGTAGCCAGGAAAGGATGGGAATACTGGAAATTGTTTAAACAAAAATGTTTTTACTTAGGGTGATGAAACACCGGAACAGGTTTCAGAGATTATAAAGTCTCCATCCTTGGAGATATTCAAGACCAGACTGGGCACAGATAATATCAAGCTGCTCTATGTGACCTTCCGTTGCACAGAGCTTTGACTAAATAGTCTTCAGAGGTCCTTCATCCATCTTCAACTATGACTTCACACCGTCCATTCCAAAGAGACCAGGACGACTTAGTTTCCTTTTAATGTGTTTTCACTTGGTCAAATCTGAGTTTGATTAAAGGAAACTACCAAATGTTCCACTTATAATGAAAATAAATCTCAGGTTCCCCTTTACCTTATATGTGATACAGGAAAATATTTGCTATAATACTGTTAGAAAGCCATGAGCCTTAACTGAGATCTTTACAGGGTGCTGATGAGAAACTGAAACAGCCAATGCCCATGTGTTTATTTATAAATTTAAGCATTATTAAGCATGCATTTAAATGGAGATAGTGTGTTGCAGCATTTTTGAGAGAAAGAGGACATGAATTATGAAATTTGAGCTACTCCAGTCTAGGCCTCAGATTTGGGCCTTGAGGCCTTCAAGCCTCTGACGCAGTTAGAAATTCAGAGCTTGTGGCGCAGATAGAAAATAGTCTTAAGGTGTTGTGGGGACCACTGGGTTGCTTGGGTGTGAATTAGTATAGGTTTTATGGTGTAAGGTGTAGGCCGTTTTAAGGAAAAGGTAAACAATATTGGTTTGCCAATCAGAGTGTTTTTGTTTTTGTAAACTATGTGGAAGCTTATATAAACTACCACCTTATCTTGAATAAACGGAGAACGCTTGATGAACCACATTGGTTTGAACCTGCGTTTGTCTTGTCCAGCTTTCCGTGTTTTTGAGATTCCCTGGCTTTAAGTGGCGCCCGGACCAGGGACTCAGGAGGCCCTGAAAAGACTCCCAAATTACTTTTAGAGTAACGGGGAGCCGAGGTTGAGTCGCGCGATGAAAATTCAGGTCCAAATCGCCTCATGGTGACGGGGCCGGGATCCCAAATTCACTTTTTGTGAACGGGGATCAAGTGGAACGGAGCAGAAGTCTCCAAACTCCGAATTGGGCCGTTTCCCAACGGGAGGAAAAAGACTCTTCGCATTGTTGTTTGTTTGCGAGAGTCCGTTGGAGCAGTGGGAAGACCTCGGCGTTCACAAGAGACCCGAACGGCGGGTGTGGACGTGGCCGGGGCCGGGAAGCTGGAGCGGAGTTGCTGCCTTGCCGAAGAAAAGCGAGAGCGAAGCAACCCGCGGAGGTTTGGAGGTAAGCCGCGGACAGAAAGAGAGGGTGAAAGTTCACCATGGATGGGGATCTGCAGGCTTCAGTGCGGCTTCTCTTTCATATTCTCTCAAAGAGAGCTGAAAAAGTTAAAGAAGCCGATTTAGAACAGTTGGTCCTTTGGGCAAGAAGCAAAGGCAAGCTGCAAAAACCTTCGCTGATTTTTAGTGAAACCGAATGGCAAGAGTTGGGGCAGCTGCTTTGGGACGCAGTCATTAAGGGCGGAAAAGACAAGAAAACACTATTGGAGCTTGGAGGCATTTGGAAGAAAGTTTTACATACCTTACAGAGCATGGCCGCGGAGAAAAAAGCAGCAGAAGCTGCAATTCAGGCATTTGAGCAATCCACATCAGAACAGACAGAAGCTCAAAAGCCATCTCGGGTTGAAAAATTTTTTAATGTTTGTAATATGCGGCCAGTGCGAGGGCAGAAAGCTCCAGTCAGTCCCTCTGTCAGAGATTTTGTCGCTCGTTGGGAGGAAAGCGCAGAGCCAGGCGGCACAGGGCCGACCGACACGGGACAAAGCGGACCCATGGCCGCGCCCGGAGCGGAAGTGTGCTCGCAAGCGGCAGATGTTAACAGCTCGGCGGTTCCGCGGAGTGAGGCAGACCAGGAAGTGGCCCTCCCGGGTCCCTCGGGAGGCGGGGAGACACCTGAGGAGGCAGGCGGAGTTGGTGACGAAACAGGGCTGAGTCAGGAGGAGGAACTCGGGGGCGGAGACCAGGGCGGAGAAGGGAGCGAGGCGGCCCTGGCCCCTCGCTCCCCCGCAGCGGCAGCGGCGGCGGCTGCCGCGGGTGCGTGCATGCGCAGAGGTGCGGCTCGCCGGTACCCGCCAGTGGTGGCGGCGGCGGCGGCGGCAAACAACCTGGCGCGGTTTGGAGGGGCTGGGCACCCCAATGCTAGCGGAGTGGCAGAAGCAGCCACCCAAACAACACCAGAGCAGAGCCCTGAAAATGCCAGTTCCCACTCCACCACGGTAGCTCTACGCTGCCCCCTCCCACCGAGTTCAGATTCTGACAACTCAGAGCCAGACCTTTCTGTTGTCAATTGCAGCAGGGACACGCTATCACAGAACAAGATACAAAGACCAAATATGTTACAGAAAGAAATAGCCCGCCTTGCCACCCTCTCAAATCGTCAGGCTCAACCAGTGGAACCTTCCACTGGCCAGCAATTGGCATTGCCAGCAGTTTTAAAAAATCCATTGCAGTCCCGATGGGCATCAGTTGTGAAGGATGCTCTTTTGGACGGTGACTGGAAGGCTGTCAGCTCCCTGGCTTGTCCTGTCATAGTGTCTAATGGGAATGCCATCTGGGAGCCCCATGACTGGAAAATCCTACAATCAGCTAAGCAGACAGTCACCACTTATGGGATCAGATCAGAAGCAGCCAGAAACATCATTCAGTATATATTCACAGCAGATGTGCTTTGTCCTGGTGATTCATCTAACATTGCATCCCTGCTCCTGACACCTTCCCAGTTTCTCATGTTTGAAAGGGAATGGAGGCGGTTGGCAATTGAAGAGGCCAACAAACACACAAATGTGGGAGACCCCTTTTATGGAGTCCAGCCAGATATGCTGACTGGGCAAGGACCATATGCAACCAATCAGGTACAACTTACCTTTCCCGTTGAAATACATAAATTGTCACAGCAATTGGCCCATCAAGCTTTGCTTTTGGTACCAGACAAGAAAAAGTCAGCATCCTATGCCACCATAAAGCAAGGAGCCACCGAACCATTCGGACAATTTATTGATAGGCTGTCAGCTGCTTTGAAGGACGCACCTGACGTGCCACCAGACGTTCAGGAACACTTATTCCGATCCCTTGCTTTTGAAAATGCTAACCCACACACAAGAACCATCTTAGCCACCCTTCCTCAAAGCTGTCCAGTCGATGAGATGCTTGTCAGAGCCACACGCGCAGAACAGAGCAACCAAGCTGCAGCATTCACCGCAACCATCCAGGATGCAATTCAACAACAAGGACACATCATTGCAGCTGCTTTATCAAGCAACAATACAAGGAGACAGAAGACGTAATGAAAAAGTATAGCAATACCGAGTGTTTTCCAAGATACCAAGAAGGATGGACATTATGCAAATCAAAGTTATTTCAAATACAATGTGGATGAAAATTACTGTAAAAAAAAAATAGAAATGTTAATAATGATTTAATTGCCAAGAATGTCTCTGAAAACAAAGATTTGAGAAAAGTCAGTCAGATGGAATGTTGGCATTGAGTTCACATTTTCTGATTTTTGAATTTTATAGATAATAAGATAAATGATAATTGTCAAGTTTTTGTAGGTAATGATAAGATAAGTAATGATTGTTACTAATGTTATATGAATGCTTTGAAAAGATTGTCTTAAACTATTTTAAACATTTCTTGTTGATAGGTTGATCATATAATGTAAGTTGTCTGATTTTTGTGATAAGAATTATTATTAAGATGTTACGGTATTGAGGTGTTGTTTTAATATTTACAGTCAGTTTTCATATGTTTTATTGGGTTTTTTTTACGTGATTGATTGCAAGATGTGTTTTTTCAGGATCCTGTGTTTTTGACTTTTTAATTACTCATGTGATATTTTTTTTTTGTCTAATTTTTTATGCAGCTGCAGTTTATCTTCTTTTAAAAATTTATAGTTCAAGTTTTGGTTCAAGATTTTAGACTTCAAATTTTCAGATTTTTGAAGAAAAAGTTTGTTGTATTTAGAGAATTTTTGTCTTGAAAGAAATTTTAGACAGGTTCAATTATTTGATGGTTTGATAAATTTTTAATAATAGGGTTTTTTCTACTTATAACAGTTATTTCTAAGACTTTTGTTTTAAACATATCCTCCAATTAGAGTTCGAGCTCTGGCCAAGCTCTGGCTCTACGTGGATGGTGTGGTTGACCCAGATGTTTTCTGCATCAAAAAGTATTCAAGTCCTTTTGGCTTGACAATTTGACCATATAGGACAGCTGAGCCTCAAAGGGAGTTTTGGAGAGACATGATCCGGACATGTTTTATCCAAATCTCTGTTGTTTTAAGGTTTTTCAGCTGCTGCAGACTCTGGGATGACAATTTGATAGTGTAGCACTTGGTAACTGTGATTTTATATGTAATATTGATTGTGTATTATCTGATTGATTTTTATTTGTTGTCAGTTTTTTTACTATGTGCATTGTTTTGTTTTTGATGTTTTTTCATGTTTATAACAAAGATGTTGACATTTCCATTTCTTCATGCAAGTTTTAGGGAACAGAATTGAGAGAGGACCCTCCAGTCCCTGTTGGGGGTGTTGGGTTTGTTTGTGTTTTAACAGGTGCAGAATCTGGATGGATTTCAGTGAAGAATGTGGAACTTATCAATTGCAAGAGGGCACTGATCTCTCCACAAGTGGATCAGAGGATGCACAGCAAAAGTGGATTGTGCAAAGATTTGTGTTTCACCCACAGAAGATCGTGGGCTTTGAGTTTTTTTTTTTATAAGTGTGTTTTTAATGATGTTATAGAATTTTTTTTTTTTTTGCTAAGTTTTAATAAGTTTTAGTAATGCCTGTGATTTTTCTGTTCATCTTGCCATTGTCTTTCAATGGCAAAAGAAAAAGAGGGAGGTCCCAACGTGGGTCAACAGCAATTCTACTTGAGTGGGTGTTTTTACCCATCCAACCAAGAAGTTGTGTGATGGACAGGACAGATGCTCTTGCTGCATTGATACGAAAAGGCAGAAACAGAATTTTAAAAATAGATGAAAAAGATATCAACCCGCAGTGATAACAACGTGAACAACAACAGTTTGCCTGGAACATCCCTGATGAATCCAGTTCTGATGAAAATTAATTTTGTAGAGTACAGAAAAATAAGTTGAAATATTATAAGTGTGAAGTTAGATTTATCAGAAGTTAGTTTATTAGAAGTTATAGTTTATGTTTAGAATGAAGATTGTTTCTTTCATGTTAAACAGGGCATTCAAAAACCTGAGAAATATGTGGTGGGCCTCAATGTTTTTATTAAGCAGTGTTTTGGTTGTTGAAGTATCTGGAATCCTTGACATTGACAAGAGAGAAAATATGTGGATCACTTGGGCCAAACAAACTAGGCAAGATTAATTCTGCCTGTTGTTAGCCACACCGTTTAACCCCCTTTTTATATTTGTTAAATTGGAGTCTCGTTGGGTCCCATGGCAGAGTTCAAAACTTGGACCCGAGCTCAAATAGCACTCTGGGAGCGCAAGCTGTTGCATTTGTGCAAAACCTTAAATTTACTGATGACAGTTTTCAAGAATTTGGTCTTTTGGGTTTTGTCCCAGGAAATTACTGTTTGATATTTGGATCTTATGCTACCAAACCAACCCAAGAAAATGGAAAATTGACAGATGACGACACTTGGTTGTCTCCCAGATCACCATTGTATTACAACTATTCAGAATATTGTAACAATTCGACTTAATCTGTGACACCGCCAAGAGGTGGTGCAGGAAAACTGCCTCCAGGAACCTTCCTCATTTGTGGGGACCGAGCCTGGTCAGCAGTCCCTCAAAATGCTAGGGGAGGCCCATGTTATATTGGTAGGTTGACGTTTTTTGCTCCCACCATACATCAGGTTCTCGAATTGCCTCAGAAAACTCAACGAGCCAAACGCAGTGTTCTCCAAATGGACCCTAATTGTAAAGATATAGTGTCATTGTGGGGGCGTGCCTCTGTAGTAGTAGCCTCACTCTTTGCCCCAGGGGTTGCCTCATCAAAAGCGCTCACACAATTGAGAACTTTAGCCTGCTGGACAGGAAAACAAATTAATATCACATCTAAATTGATAAGTGAGTTTGCTGCAGATGTAGGCGATACCCATCATGCGGTTCTACAAAACAGAGCTGCAATTGATTTCCTTCTTTTAGCACAAGGACATGGGTGCGAAGAATTTGAGGGCATGTGCTGCATGAATTGTCTGACCATTCTCAATCGATTTATAAACAGTTAACGCAATTGAAAGAACATGAGAAAAAACTTATCATAGTGGACACTCCATTTGATAACTGGCTCAATTCTTTAGGTTTTTTGGCTGAGTCAAAGATTTAATTCGTTTTGGTATTGTACTTTTTTTTATCTTTATAGTTATTTTAATTGTTATACCGTGTTTTTTACAGTGTGTGCAAAAATTAGTTCATTGCGCCTTCACTCCAGCCTGAGTAGCTCAAAAAGAAAAAGAGGGAATTGTTGCAGCATTTTTGAGAGAAAGAGGACATGAATTATGAAATTTGAGCTACTCCAGTCTAGGCCTCAGATTTGGGCCTTGAGGCCTTCAAGCCTCTGACGCAGTTAGAAATTCAGAGCTTGTGGCGCAGATAGAAAATAGTCTTAAGGTGTTGTGGGGACCACTGGGTTGCTTGGGTGTGAATTAGTATAGGTTTTATGGTGTAAGGTGTAGGCCGTTTTAAGGAAAAGGTAAACAATATTGGTTTGCCAATCAGAGTGTTTTTGTTTTTGTAAACTATGTGGAAGCTTATATAAACTACCACCTTATCTTGAATAAACGGAGAACGCTTGATGAACCACATTGGTTTGAACCTGCGTTTGTCTTGTCCAGCTTTCCGTGTTTCTGAGATTCCCTGGCTTTAATAGTGTAGACTGTGTAATACTGCAGCAAACTCGAATTGGTGCACAGGGTAGTCTACCTCTGTATTCAAATTTAGATTCTAAATGTAGTTAGTCTTATTCTACCAGGGACAGGGTATAGTGATTAATTTGAAATCAGGGATAGCATCTGTTCCAACAGAGTCTAGAATATTTGCTGTAACCCATTTGTATTGATAGCTAAGGGTGGAGAAATAAAATATCCCTTTCAATGTCTGACAGTAGGTAAGAATTAGAAATATGTCCTAAAACATGGTATTTTCAGCTCTGCAGGCCTCTACATAATTTAGAAGAGGGAATAGGTATATAGTGCTTCAATTTAACTAGCCAAAGCTGTTAATACCCTTAATGTCCTGGAATGAGGGCTTCTGTTGACTGTTCTCTCTGTCAGAAGTGCTGGGTCCAGGATTACTTTGCCTAGAACAGTTTCTGATCACCTCTGACTACAAATGACAAGACTCATTAACATGCTCTGTCTTACAGTGTACATCATGTAGATGTCTTCAGAGTCATCATTCAACAAATTAAATTAAATATTTAAGAGCATAAAAGTTAACACCAGTGAAAGAAAATCTGCTGCCATTTTCTTGCTATAAATACCTGTGCACTAGAAAAAGGTGAGGGAGCAAGGTTTCCTCCAGTGTCACTTTACTCTTAATTTTAATTTTCAACTAAAATACAGGGAAACTGATACTATATAGTATATAGTAAACAATAAAATTAGTATATGTAAATCAATATTATACCATTATAAAACTCTTGGATTTTTATTACTTATATGTTGATGAAAGCAAAAAAATTTTAATTGAGGTAGCAAATAGATTCAAATAAATTATGAGTAACATGTTTAATTTTGACACTCTTCCAAATATACTTACCATATATCCCAAATGATGCACATATGGGAAAAACATGATCATGTATTAGAATCAAATTCTGTATATTGGCCAAGCCAAAAAAAATTATTGAACTTTAAACACCTGATTTTTCAATAGAAGCAAACATATTTACTATAAAGTTTTCTTTACGTCTTTTTATTCCTTCTAAAGAAACTGATAATATAACTCCTTCACAGACAGACACCTGTAATATGATGTCTTCTTTATCAACAGCAAATTTTTAACTCTGACCATTCTACCACACAGCAGTAAGCAGCCAACACATGCATAAAGAATCTAATACTTGTTTTGTCTTCAGTCCTAGAGCTGGATGTCTCCTGTTCTGACTCGTCTGAGCTGATATTAGCTATTGAATTTCCATGCTGGACCTGGGAGTAAAACTACAGAAAACACAGCTTTTCTTAGGGTTCTGGTGCTCTAGAACTTCAAACTTCATGGATGCTCCAGTAAATGAAGAACCGTATTTGAAATTACTAGTAGTACTGACCAGGCTGAAAATACTTAGTGAGCAGGGGAAAATTAAAACTATTTCCTTCATTCAGCGGAATTTATTGAAGCCTCTTGCAAGCAGTTCTATGGGGACTCAAGAGAAAAGTTTGCAAGACTTCTTTTCAACAAAACCTGATTGTGGGATGGTAACAGGTCTGTACCCAGTACCTTATTGTATTATAAAGGCTCAACATAGCCCTCTTGAAATCAATGGAAGTCATACCCATTTGCATCAGCAAAGGATCTGTCTGCAACTATTTAGTGATCAACAGCAGCTCAAGTATATTCTAAAGAACTTGTTTGTTTTTTTATTCTCTCAACTTTGAAAACCGTTCAGCTCATGTATAAAAACTTGCACTGTTCAGGAACATGGATCTATTTGCAAGAGGTGACTCATGCTTTTGCTGGGGACAGAATTAAAAGTAAAACAAACTGAACTTAAGTTAGAATGGAAATAAATACACTGGCAGACAGAACTAAAAGGCTCACTGATGTCACGCTATTAAGTCCTAGAAAATTACTCTATCATTCTGCTGCCTGAGCCTAGGATTCTTTCCTTTCTTCTTAGTCTCACTTTCTGGACATTATCCAGCTTACTTGATTCACCTCTCAACTTGTAGCCTCTGTCAATCTTTAGAAAAACCCTTTGGATTTTTTCCCCCTTTCTTCTTGTTGCCAAGGATTCTGTTTAAAAAGCATGCTTGCTTGACTTTCAGGAATTTGTACCAATATAGAATAGCGATGAGTTACAGCATGTTCAAGAAATGCACACACTTCCAAGCACAGAAAGAACTGATGACCAACAAAGGAGCGACAGTATTATGGTGCGTGTATATTGCACCATTTCCTTTTTATCAGCAAGGTTTATAAATATTTAGTTGTATTTGTTTGAAACTAACCAACCAAGATCCTAATAAGCCTGACAAACATTTCAGTACATGTTATCAAATAAAGTATTACAAGCCAGGTGGATATGAAAAGTATGTCTGGAAAGTTAACAAATGCCTGCTTAAAAATAATATGACAAAGGATTTCAGTAGAAGTAATTTTTTGTTATAATCCTCAAAGTAATTTGGCATGCTGTCAAACATTAAGTTTCAAGGTCATGTCTATGTATTTTATATTCCAAAATTTCTCACTAAACTCAAGCATAAATCAGAATTTCTATCTTTAAGGGAAAGGAGGTTTAAACCAGATGAGACAGACAAAGAAGCAGCCTTCCTTCAGTTTTTTGCATCACCTAGGACAGCAGTCTGTTCCTTCCACAAACTGGAATTATCCTATGCACCTCATTTGACTAAGATTTGTCCTCATGTCTTGTCCTGAAACTATCTTTACCTGTGGAAAGTTACTAAACATTTCCAGCAGAAATTCTTGATCCTGAACAAATCCCTGGACACAGCTTGAAATTAATGTCCTCATCAGCCATTATTTTATTTCTGACTGAAGGGCTCTCAGACTTTCTATCTTGTCACTCAAAGACTCCCTGAAGAACAAAATTTTTTTAAAAGCCCTTTCAGTTTGTTGGTTTTTTTGGTTTTAAGTTTGAATTTTCTGCTGGAAATTCTTACTAAACACACCACCTGCTTCATATTTTAAATACTCACTTGTATGCTATGAGGAAAAATGCTGCTACGAGATATCAGGCAAAGTGTGTTTTCCAATGTACCATTTCTCCAGTCACTCCAGTAGACGAACAACACCATTTAGTGTAAATTTCACTAACACCCCTTTGGTTCATGCTCACTGCTGGCTGGCCTTTGGCCTCTAAATATGTTCTATAGCACATGCTCTGTGCATGGACTTAGGTGAAAGGCAGTAGCAACTTCCTTGGCCTTAAAGCTTCTTCTCATCTTCATTAATGCAACTTCCCTTTCCCTGGCATCTATCTAATCATAATCCTGATTAAGAATAATGCTTCAATTTTATGGTGTAATTCAGACACTGATAGCCAAATGGATTTCTGTTGGCTTAGAAGCAGATTAAAAATCTGTTTCAGAATAACACTCTAGTCCAAATAGAAAGTTTTTAATGTTCGTTGTCCCATTATCAGATGTGTATAACTTCCCTACACCCTCCCCATCTCAAGAGTTTGTGTAGGTAGCTTCCCTTATTGTGAACACCTCTTTAATGTCATAAAAAGGAGCTCACCTTCCTCCTAAAATTGCCAGTTATGGAGATTAGAATAATATACCTCAGCTTTTCTCCTATTATGTCACAAGCTGCTATGTATGTACAGTACAGAACATTTATAGAACATTTTCAAAAGAGATGTGCTTACTGCACAGATTGCAAAACTCTTCACTACTTCATTTTGGTCTTTGGCAGGGAGAGAAGGTCAAGACTGTAAAGTAAGGAGCTACCATCAGAATATGGATTTGGCCTGTGGTTCATTCCTTTGCCAGGACAAGAAATTCTTGGATGATCAAAAGCAGGGTGCAAGCCAGGTGAATTACCTTGGCAGCCTGGGATTTGGTCCATAGACTATTACATCACTATATTTATCTAAGTGTAAAGTTATGCAGGGAGTGCAAGCAAACACCTGGGCATAGATAAAGCCTGATAAAAGCTAACAAGATCTTTCCCTTTTTGCTGGACTCAGAGCTTTGATATTTTTCCATTGTCCAAATTATATAAAATATTCCAAATTTCAGTACTACAGGTTATGAAATTTTTTTCTTTTCTGTTACTCTTAAGGAACTTCAATGTTTCCTTCTAAACAGAATCTATTAAATTAAGTGTTGTGCTGGAAAAAAACACTCAAATCAAAAACACTTCTCTAACCAAAATATATGAAGAGGCATTTACTTCATTATCATACTTCACCAGCTATTTCTGCCCTTGAATATGACCACATTTCATTCAGAATTTCATTCAGGCTGCTTGATGTCAGATAAAATCTTGCCCAGGAAGTGTTCCATGGAAACAAATTGCTCATGCATGAATATGGACATTACAGGGTATCTTGGCCTACCAGAATTTTATTTGGTCTGAGTTTTGGGGTATTAAACTACATCCAGAACTCCTACAAACTGTTTTGTTTTATGGGTGACAGAGTGGTTCAGCTCCACCTTTCAGGTGAGCAGGTGCCTGTACTGGCTTGCTAACTGGGGTTAAACCACAAGGCTTGGCTTTAAAAACAAGACAGAACACAGTGAAAAAATCAAAACAACTTTGAAGAAACCCATTGTGAATAACACTTAATCTTGTTTTGCTCTGTGCCAACAATCACTCTGGAAAATATTTTGAGGATAATAAACCCAGCTGTGAATTAGACAGTAATTTAGGACACTGTTCTCGAATTATATTGTGAGTTATGAGGACATGTTTTACAGAATTGAAGGCATCAAATATGGAAGTCCCACTTGGTTTTCTATAGAAAGAAAATTAAGCTGATACATTGAATCAAGATGGTCAAATGGAAAAATTATAATGTAATTATTCACAAAAAAGTCTCCTATTATTCTTTAGTGGGACATTTTCAAGACACTATTTAAGATTAATCCATCATCAATAGAAAAGTTTTATGCAGTGTAGCACTTATAGAAAAGTCTCCTTTATCTTTCACAGGGAGAAGGCTAATTGTCTTCAAATACTGGCCACCAGTCACTATTGTTATTAGTGTAAAAATCTCTGAACCTTGTTGCACCATTTTTAGATACACCTCAGTAAACACAGCACTCCAGCTGTTAAGCAAACATTATGGTGTCTGCTTTAGAGTCTTTCAAAAACAATGTAGGACAAAAGGAATTAAGGTAAAGAAGCAGGAAAACAACATAAAGGTAAATTTGGTGTGTGCTTTACACACATTTTCCTCCTTCTGTAGTCTTATTATCTCTGCTATTACTATTCACATTACATTGCAGCTACTAGCAAAGAGAAGTAATCTGGAGATGTAAGCAGAGTCCATTGCTTTCTAAACATGTAGCTAAACACATTCTAGAGATTTGATCTGTAATTATAACACATCACTGAATCTTTCCTTTCTGTTATGAAATTTATATAAAAATATTATTTAATTGCAATGTAAATACCTTTAATCGAGCACAAACAGTTGTAACTATGAACACCAAATTTTGTCCCTCACTTGGTGTTTCTGTTGGCTCCTGCAGTCTTTTACATGCTGAAAGGTCAGGCCAGCAAAAACTTTGTTTCAGTGCTATACAAAGAGTTATTGCTCTTTAGAAGAGTCACTACTGGTGGTATGAAAAAGTCAAGCTGAAAGTACATTTGTCAAGATGAAAGTATACATTTGAGGGCAATCATCCTTTTCATCCAACTATTACTAAGAGATTAACCAGGTCAGAACACAATTGACTCTTCATTTAAAATAGGAGATGCCCAAATACAGCTTTCTAGGGAAGCTATATTATTGCAAAGTAAAGAATCTCTAAATCTACATTACCTAACTCAGAAAGGATTATTTTAAATGTCTTTGGTAAAAACTTAAAATTCTGAAATTTATTCAGTATCACCAAAACCAAAACAGCTACTGAGAAGAGAGAGCCTATTTCTTACTAAGAATAAAGTAAAAATGGTAGCAAAAGAGAAATACAAAAATGTTCTGCTTTGAGAAGGAAAGACTCCCTTAAAAGATACCACAAATTTCTAAATTCCCCAAACATGTTTAAAAGGTGCCATGTGTAATTTATGCTTCATGCTAGCCTCAGGAAAGATGCCAGTGTTTCCCTTTTTTTATGCTGGGCCACAAAGAAGGGCCACAAATCATTGATGGCTGTAGGAAGGCATCTGTGTGTCTCAAGCACTACACAGTTACCTCACTTCTGGACCGCTCACCCAGACAGGATGGCTGATGGCAGCAATATCTCCTTTACATAAGCTCCACTTTGCCATGGTTCCAAACTGAGTCATTCACAGACTGCTGTCTTCCTAACAGGCAAGAGCAGACCTCCAAGGCTGGCTTACAGGTTTCTACCTCCCCCAGTAAAAACTTTAAGAGTACAATGTAGGCAACAGATTGTTCACTCAGCTCCTTTTCAGATAGAAAGCTCTGGATGATGAAAGCAATCTGTTCCAATTTTTAAAAATCCATGTTAAACAAAACAATTGCAACTCTTCCTACTGACTCCTGTATCACCAGCTATATTTGCAATCACTGAAGTTGCCTGAGTGTAGGTGTACTCACAAGCCTACTGTATGAGCAGGATTACCATAGCAATCACAGCTCCCAGAAGCACTACCTTGAGGTGCTTAAAGATAAACCTGGGTTTAGAGGAATTAAAATGTAGCAGTACATGCCAAAATCACATCAGTCGAGAGTGCACCACACCAGGCAGAATCAAGTTTAACACCTCACAGGGCACTTCTCTGTTTCAATAAACTGGGTCAGTACCTGCATTTCAGGATCTAGGTCTACAAACACAACATAGCTGAGTAATAACCCAACAAAGAGAAGTCTTTAAAATAGTGCTGTTAAGACAAGAACACTGAAATTTAAAAATCAGTGATTACAACAGGTGACAGATCCCATCTTTACCTGCTGCTGCAGCCAAGCGCCAACATCTTAATTATGCCTAAGAAAATCCTAAATAGCCACAAAAAATGAATTAATTTAAAACAATATTATCTTTTAACTGCTATGACAGCACAAACAGTATATCTTAAAACCAATAAGTTCATACACTTATGAATTGCAACATTCAGCATGAAGATGCCTTCATAATAATTCCTCCAGTGCTGTTACTCTTGGAGGGTTTTCAGAAGGATGAACCTATAACCTGCATCTCAAGTAAACACTGTTTAGGTGTTAGAGTACCATACTCACTTGTCAGATTTTCCTCCTTCTCTTCATTTCAACTTTGCCCACAACCTATTTCCTCTACAGCAAACAAAAAAATTTGGACATTATCAGTCACCTTTACCCTGTCTCTGAACACCCCAAGTATAACAGTGTGCTTGGAGCAGCCAGCAGTATTTGGAATGAAAGTAGTTTCA